TACAAGTATTAGCCCAGCCCATCTTCCCCTCACTCTTGAAAAATAATAATAGTACCATTATAAAAAGAAAAAAAGATACTATCTTTGCCATCTATTCAGGAAAGATCTATTACAGTTGGTGAACAAGGGTATTCTGGAAGAAAGCTCTTTAACAGAATACAGTGCTCTTCAACCCTGTGCAAATTCTGTAAGTGAAGTATCTCTATTTTTAATACTTTTCCTAGAAGATGCAATGGAAGACAGACTTTTTATTATGACTCTAATTTTTGTTACTCTAAAAGATCTGTTGGACTGGATTAGAAGTAAATCCTCCTTTCCACTCTCTGTGGGACACATTCCAAGATAAACTGAGCCTGTGATGGGGTAGTTACAGCTACCCTGCATTCATAAGAGAAATTCTTAGCTGCCAGAATATGTCCTGTAAAACCATTCCATCAGCTGAGTTAAAACAGCTATATACATGCTTCAGTTTGCAGTGGGTCCAGCTGAAATTCAGCAACTGATCTTCAATACAATTTAAAGTGTGTTCTGTGCTGCTTTACCTTGGTGGCTGATATGGTCCCATGGGGTCATTCTAACATGGAAATTGCTGTAGTTAATACAGACTTACTAGACACCTCCAGAGTCCCAGCTAGTCCACACAGTAAATCTCTACTGCATCTGAACAAAGGGCATCTGTATGTTACTTATGACCCACCTTTGGATCCTGTATGAATCTGCATTGAAAAAGAAATTAATGGAGCCCAGTATTAGGCTCATCATATAAAAAATGGATAGTCAGTCTTAAATTACAGAAAAATCAAAGTACTATAGTGTATGAATTCCATGTCAGAATAATCCAGCTAATATCTAATACAATTTTGGACACAGAATGTTTTGTCCAGAGTAACTAATTTATTTCAATTTATTGTTGAGAGCACTATTTGCAATTAAAGGATTGCCTTATGCTGAAAAGTCTTGGCTCACGTCTTAAAGCATAGCATGTGTCTAATCTTTTATTGGACAGACACTGGATTCATGGGGAACAAAAAGGGTACTAGTTCAGGTCTCTTCCTTTCACGTTATGGAGTCCCGTTGCCTCTCAGTAATTCAAATGCGCAAACACCTCATGAGCAAAATCTACTAAACCTTCTGCTGTTACTTGTTCAATTTTAACACTGGCATTACGGACAAGATCCTCTTTTTTTTCACAGGTTCAGCATAAGTACTGGATACGATCAATGCATGAGATTCACCTGACCAAACACAGATGCCTGCGTATGAGTTGGTCATTTTGATCTCTTTGAATGCAGAGAAACAGGTGCTTCTTTGGCACAGTTCATCTAATCCAGAAGTAAATAATTACATTTGTCAGATGGCTCACATCCTACAAGGGCCCACTTCGCTGATTAGAAGGGAACCTTGGATGACTAGCTCAAATGCAGACCTCCAAAATTAGATGAGAAGAATTCCTCCCAATAGGTCTTAGGGCTCTGACTGACAAGTGGGGATAGCTTCAGCAAGGATGACTGATACGGTTTCCATGTTAGATGACCACCTCACTTGGCTGCATGGACATCCAAGTTGCTTGTCAGTCAACTTTGGAAGCACTGCAGTTGGCACATGATGGATAGCTGGGGCAGTGCACTTGGCCAAGAGACACTAACCTGGTCCTGCTCAGCAGTCAAGGCCCTCACGCTATGTTTTGGAGGCTTAAGTGATACACGAGTAGTGGTAACAGTTAGGATGGATGGATTTTATTCTAGATTAATGACAATCAGATCTGTGAGAAAAATTTACACGTTGATATTACTTGTAAGTAACTATTTCCTTATGTCCACATTTTAATGCTTTTTTGTTTTTTTTGGCTTGCATATCATGCACACTATTTTGTGAACTTTCAATGAGTACTTTTAGTCATGAAGCACTCTGCAATGTGGGCCAAATTCTCAAAACCAGCCTACTAGATTTGCTTAAATTTGTTAAATCTGAACTCTAACCACACACTGCAATATGCAGGAGAACTAGAGCCAATTTTCACTTGAAGAAAGTATCCTCTGTAACAAAGAAAGTTACTCTGATTTCACACAGATGTTTGTGGCCTGCACAGAATTAAGCTCACATTTGAAAAACAACACCTGTTGGCGTTGTTTTTGTTGTTTTTAAATGAAAAAATTAGGACCCCCCCAAAAAAAAAACAACCAAACAAGAGTAGGCTTGAGATCGGAGCAAGAGCAAATAAAATGTTTCCAAAATGGTGAAAATGTAAATTTGATCAAGATACAACTATTATGAAAGTGTCATACTGCACCACAACAACAAGAAACCAAGCTGTATAAACCCACAAAATCCTAGATTTACAATGTTTTTAATAAATTCCCTCACCCAAAGAATCCCTTGTTCTTTCCTGTCTATTTACCCAAACTCTTGTTTATATTTAAAATATATCTGATTAATAAATGTTTTAATATTGTTATATTTTTTCCTATTGAAAATATATTTTCAGTAGTGTGATAAATTTGGAAATTAATTTCCGTGAAATATATCCAGGTTGTGTGCACGTAACATGCCGCTCTGCATCCACACTACCAGGAATGAAAGAAACGTGCAAAGGAGAATTTAAAAGTGCACATACATGGTTTGCATTAGTTATGAATAGTTTTGAAACCCCATTAACAAATAACAGACTCATACCTCCTCGGTAATGTATTTAATTGTGAAAGAGGCTCCTTCCACAGATGTCACGTTGTTGGCCATGGAAGCAATGACAGGCAAAACAGATAACAAAATAACAAAGGAAAATCAACTTTTAAATTACTCTGTGATTATAGCATTTTTTAAAAGGCTTCAGGTAAGTATGATTTTCTTTCCATAAGGAAAGCTTTACTAAAAAATTGTTCAGATGTGGAACTGGGGCAGAATTTTTCAAGTGACAGTCACAGAAAAGAACAAATGCTTTTTTCCCCCCACTAAAGGCCTGTGATCCTGCAAAAAGAACATGCTTGTACAGTCCTACTGAGTTCAGCAAGACTACTCATGCTGATAAAACTACCTTTGTAGCTAGAATAGGACTGGTACTGCCCTTCTTTAAACAAGCTCATCAAATTGACATTGTAGAACACCAGTGAATCCTGATCTTTAGAAAACTTGTTCCTCAGTTAAGCCTGTTCTGTTTTAATGAAAGAAAGGAAAATTTACTTAGTGCACTAGTGTTATCCCACTTAATTTAATGCAGTTATTCCAAAATAAAGTGACAACAGTGAATCAGGCCTAGTGTGTCTTACTCTGTGAACTGGTTGGAAGCATAATCCTTTCCGAGTTGCTTTCTGATTTTCCTTCTTTGCCACTGGTATACAATGGCAGCCTTTCCCAAGAGTTAGGAAATACGTTTTGATTTACAAGCTGTAAATTAAGCAGTAAATATAATTATGATTAAAGTAGTTATTTAATTTTGATATACACATACATTATTCTAATTACCCAAATGCATGTTTTAATGGAAGGGTTGTAATTCTTGAGTATATTGGAATGCCATATAACTCAAAAACGTTCTCCAAACTATGTATAAATCAACAAAAGCATCTGCACCCAGTTTACATGTGACATGCATTTAAATTTGAAGTTTGGAAATGTAGCCCAGCACGTCTGTGTAAGTTGTCTGAATAGAACATGAAAGCTGTAAGTCTTAGAGAGGTACAAAGATTTATGTTAGGCCTTTGCAGCCATTTTCTTGCATGTAAATATGGCTATTGAAAAGTTCTAAAGGTAATTGTCTTCGATGTCATTTAGATATCTGTACTAAATGAAGATCTAGCCCCTAGTAACCAGAGCTCCATTTCAGCAGAGTCTGCTTTTTGCTTCTAAAAGTAGTTAGAAGTAGACTCAAGGCAACATATTATTACACTGCTGTCCTACATCTCCTTTCCTGCCTACGTACAAGATAATTGAATACCGCAGCGTGTAACTTCCAGCATTAGTTGGTGGTTGTACCACTGCCCTCAACGGGAGGATGCAATGGCCAGCCTGCTGCCATGGGAATAAGCACATCACCCCACTAATGGCTGGCCCTCTAAGGTCTGCTACCACTGGTGGAAATTATGCTTAGTTCAAGCAGCAGAAGCATGCATTTTTGCAACAGAAAGCTTTCTGAAGTCTATGTGGCCACGATGTAGCCAACAACCATGTTTTACACGTGGTTATGGAAACGTTACAATCAGTTTTCCAGTGAATATTTGCCATGTAGTAGAAGCAAATGCTGAGTATTACAAGGGGAAAAAAAAAGGACTAGGGTGGTGAAGAATCTGCAGGATGAACAAATTTTCCAACCTAATCTAAAATTTTAAGCATAAAAAGTGTCAAGTGCTAAAGTAATTCAAAATTAAGGACTTTAAGATTTCAAAGAGATTTCTTTCACTATCCTCCCAATTATTCACACAATGAAAACTTGCTACATAAAATCATCAGTCATTTCTGCAAACGATACTAATGTTTTGAGGCACCGGCTTACCAGCATTCAAACTATTATAAAGTAATATAATGATAGGACCCATACATTTGGATTTAATTAAGAGATAAAATAAATATTTATGTCAAACTTCGTTTTGATTTCACATTTGGTATAGGAAGTTACATGGTCACAGAACATGAAAGAAGTCAAATACTTTTTGATCTACCAGCAAACTCTAAATACATCGATAAAGAAGCCACATCAGGCCAAATAGATTACTACTTTCAAGTAAGTTCGTGAAAGTTTCCCAAATACTGTTATACAAAGTTACACATCCATGCTGAGTTATTCATCAATGTGTAGCGAGAGTCTTGCAGTAGGCCAGGATTTTATGGGCAGAGGAGCTATGCAGTGTGATTAAAAATTCCAGTTTGGAAGCATTAACATAGAAGTACTTTCATAGTCTGAACAGGAAACTGCAGTTCTTGAAGTTGGGAAGAACAGAAGGGAAGAATGAGAATATTTTTCCGTTTTAGAAATGCTGAGGCACAAAACACAGTTGATTCTAGTACTTTTATACATGAAATCCTTTCTCCTGTATGTGCATCATGTGTAACCGCAAAGTCTGTAAACTGCTGACTATTCGTCTCTGGTGTCCAATGAGTACAACTCCAATTCTTCTAATGTCACTGCAAGATAAAAAGTTTCATCTTGGATGCAAGTATAGTAAAGCCTCTTGCATACAAAAGAGTATAAATATATGATGAATACCTCTTCTTCAGGACAGTTTACCTTCCTGACTGGGGGATATAAGAAAGCTGCAAACATTCAAGTTTTCTGCACCTGTCAATTACAAATTTTTAAAGACAGCCATTTAAGAAAAAAAAAATATTTTGTAGTTGGAGCACTGGTATCTTTTGTGACACTACTGGTCAAATAATTTTTGCAAATCTTGGGGAAGAACCTGAGTGGTGGTTTCTAATAGCTCATTTTTAGCAATGTGCTAGCAGTAAATGTTTCCCACTCATACTTGCAAATGAACAGGGCTGATACACTCACTCTTGCAGTCCTGACGTGGAAATAAGAGGGGCTGTGCATCTCATGATTCGGGGAATGGTGATGAGAGGTGGTCTAAAGATCAGAATAGCAGAGAATCTTCCAGCTCGACTCATATTTCCCTCAATCCCATTCAGACCTGCACCCCAGAGTGAGTAGCTCACCCACAGAGCTTGATTCTTTGGCAGGAATAAAGTCAACAGCCCTCAGCATCCAGCAAAATTCTCTAGCTTCATTGTTCTCTAAACATCACCAGCTACACAATGCTGAGAAAGATCACAGAGGTGACGAGGGCAGGAAACTTCAGATATGCCCCGTCAATTGTGCACCTGCCACGCTGGGACACAGCATAGACATCGCCTGTTTAGATACCCTCAAAAATTGTTTGGTGATATAGGTAGTAAAGGAGCCCATGGGATGAGGCACGACCTTTATGAATTTCAGATTTGCAGTTCAAGATACCCGGCTCTGCAGCCTCCAGATGAAGAGCCACTGGATAGCAGCAGCTATTATGTACTTGGGCTTAACACCCACATGGGGAATGATACACAACGCTTAAGGTCAACAGGGACTATGCAAAAATATTGAGCATCTTAGAAGCTAAAAAGAGTCAGCTAAAAGAATAAACCTTTACAGGGGAAGTGGTATTAGAAATGCAGGAACAATGCATAGCACTTGTCAAGGAAGGCCTGATAAAACTGAGAAAGAAGCCAGCAGGCCTAGGGTAATGGAGGTTATTCGAATAAAGAAGGAATCTTTCAAAAAGCTGAAGTGGTATCTAAAGAAAGAAAGTAGAAAGGATGATAACCTTAGGCAGATTATCTGTAAAAACACAATGAAGCAGGCTACAAAAGAACTTGAGGAACAACCAGAAAAAGACACCTAATAATCAAACTCATCATAAATCTTTTTGTAAGCTCAGTGGGGTACAAGATGCCTGACAGGGCATCTGTAGAGTCTAATGATGATTTGTGTATAAAAGAGCACTGAAATACTGGCCACTGGCAGAAGGCTAAACCAATTATTTGAGTTGATATTCACTGTGGAAGAAATTCAAGTGACTCCCATGTCAGAACCTTTATGGAAGACTTGTCAGAGCATCTGTCTGAAGCTGAAGTGACTGCAGGATAGGTTTTAGGACAAACTGAAAAAACCAAGCAACAACACACCTCCAGAACAAGACTATATTTAGCCAAGAGTTTTAAAAGAGTTCAAGGATGAAGCAGTGGAATTACTAACAGGGATGTGAGAGAGGGAGGTTTCAGCTCTGTTCCACTTGCTTAATAATTTCTTGGTGCCTGTGGCATGGAGAGTGGTGCCAGGCAAAATAAAAAGTTTCCAGGGCAGATACGGGGAACTGCAGACCTGTGAGCCTGAAATCATTCCAGGGCATAACAGAAACTACAGTAAAGTACAGAATTATTGGATGCCTGGATAAATTACCTGCTTGAATCACTATAGCTTTTGCAAACAGAAGTCCTATTTTACAAACTTATTTGTTTTCCAGTCGAGGAATCAGCATACATATGGATGAAGGCAACCTATTTGATACACCGTACCTGGATTTCCAAAAGCTTTAGAGAAGATTCGTCATCAAAGCTTTATAAGGAAAATAAGGAGCTATTGCAGAAGATCTTTGCGTGACTAAATAACTGGTTTAAAGACAGAAGGTTAGGAGTAATTTCTCCTGTTTTAAAATGTAGTCATCAATGGAAATCTGCAGGGACCTACTCTGTGATAATGTCAAAAACAGTAAATGGTCTGAAAAAACAGGTGAGCACAGAGGTGAAAAAGTCAGTTGGTGAGACTGAGCAGTAAGGGAAAGGGCCAGCTGTGAAGAGTTTCAGAAGGATCTTATAAGACTAAGTGGCTATGCCATAAAGCAGCAGATGAAATTCAGTGTAGGTGAATGTAAAGTGATACACATGGGAGAAAACCAGTCCTACCTTCATATGTAAAATTACCGAGTCTTAACTGACCATTATTAATACAGATAGTCTCAGCATCAAATAAAAGATTAGGATTAATGGAAAGGGGATAGAGAACAAAATAGATGGTATCATTATGCTACCATATTAATCCATAGTTTGCCGAAACCCTTACACACTGGATGCTGTGTTTTCATTTGAAAAATGATAGAGTGGAGTCAGAGATGGTTGAAGAAGGGCAGCAAGGCATGGCACAACTCCCATGTGAGGACTGACACGGGCTTGATGATTTTCACAGCAACATAAGAAAAGATTTTTGCCACTGATTTTGGTGGTCTAGATCAAAACTGATTCCCCAAGAAACATTTAAGGATATTCTCTGCCTGACCTTTGGCAGTGTTTGGTATGGTCACAGAATGAAACTGTCAGTTCTGGGTCTCTTAATCACATCTTTCTGCACTGTTTGGTAAAAAACTGTGTTGGTCTTTTATTAGCTTAGGTAGGAAAGGAAATGAAAGCACTGTTCCATACATCATGATAATTACGTCACTGCAACATCCAAAGAAATTCAGATTGGTTAGTCACTGTAGGGATAATAGATTACATACTTACTCAATACTCATTCTGGAAACCATATCCAAAGTTGTGAAACCTGCTGCCATGAAGTTATTTTTATACTGACCCATTTTTATGGAGTCCAGCCAGTCACTGACTGAAACAAACAAAGGATATTCTGCAACTTCACCAGGTGAATCTGGCATTCTGTAAAAACAAAATGCAAAGGTTGCCAAAGCACTACAAAATATGACACTTGCTTTGATCTAGTAGACATTGTTTTTATTAAAAGGCAGAAGGAATGAGAAAGGAGCCTGAGCTGTAAAGGTTAGATCCTCACTGAGGATCGCTTTAACCCGTTGCCTAAAACTTACAAATCATGTCAGTCTGCCAAGCTGCACTACTTAATACATTTTTTTAAAGCACTGCAGCTTGGTAAACCGAGGAACAAACCTCTCCCACTGCTCCTGTTTTTGTTCCCACAGAGCATTTCTTTACAGATCTCATGTGTTCAGGATGATAATAATTTGTAAATACAGTAGTCAGAGGACAAACAAAATCTAACATGAGATACAATTTAAAAATACTAAAACACTGCAAGATGATTTTTACATTTATCACAAAAAAATCCTAAATGGCTCCTTATTGCTCTACCATTATGCAATGGGAACACTGATTACAGTATTCAAAGCCTAAAATTAAGCCTAAAAGAAGCAAAACCAATAACATCTTATATCTTTGCTTTTATATAGAGTAGCAAATAAAAATGAATGGGCTAATGTAGTCACATTTCTGTTTCAGTTCTTTTCCCTAATATTATCACAAGTGAAACAGAAAGAGAAAAAAAAAATCCAATTCTGGGGCATGTATTTTCAGGCTTTTGTTGTATACCATACTGGTGAGGGCTCACAACTTCCACTGACTTTGCACATTTTGTGTAGAGAAGCTGTAAGAATAGAAAGCAGAAAAAGCACGCTGCTGTTTATAAAAGCTTTGTGACAGCCTTTAGGAGAAAGATATCATTTATTTAAAATGAAAATTTAGACAGCAAAAGGCAACCAACATTTGACTGATGGAACATGACTTACGTAGAATGTAGGAAGCAACACACCCTAGTATCTTAACATACTGAGTTTCAGCCACACAGATTTTCATTCATACTATCAAAATGATAGACAGAGAAACTGAAGGACAGGAGAACACTGTTAAGTACAAGTCTCAATTAAAGACCTACTAAGGTCCCTTCCACCTAAATTACTTGATGATTGTGCGATTCCTACAGAATAACTGCTGACCTTATAAATTAACAGTAACACAATAATCATTCAGATTGACTGCATCAAGCATTCCCAAACGAGTGGAAAAACTTTCACAAGCAGGCGAGCTCTGTAAGAGCTCAATTGCAGGAAAACAAGCATAAATTCTTAGGTCTTAAGTAATGTTTTAAAGTAAGAATATATAAAAATGCATTGCTCTGATGCTAAATAAAGTGACCCATGTACAAGTAGCAAGTCATATATATATCTGTATACACATACAGGCCACTAACTCTAGTGCATGGACATTAAATCCCACAAGTCCCACTAGTCTGTAGTAGATGAAATGGATATAGCCCTAACTCTCAGTTTTTCTAGTAACCTCACCGTTCAGCCTGTCCCACAGCAAGATGCCAGCCTCAGGCTTTGCCCTGTTGCTCAGCCCTTCTCCAAACCATATCAAAACCCTCTTAACCCACTGGGGTTCTCAGCAAGACCCACCTAGGCCTTGAGAACCCCTTATAAATACAAGGAGCTCTCCGTGAAAGCACCATTATCTTAAGGTGAATTTCAGGTAATGAAGAGAGTGAGGCCACCTGTAACTTCACTGATTTCAGCTGATATCCAGAGACAGCTTGGATCAATAAGCCTACAAAAATGACAGATTCCTCCACCACAACCTTGCTTCTCCTGTGGCTGCTTTCATTTCTGTAATATCGTTAATGGAAAAAACTTTTGCAACACCATCAATATTTTTTTGTGGAATGGTAATAGCATAATCTCTTACTTGGTCACTGTTGCCATTCTTCTGCAGATAAATAAAGATCTAGCAAGCTAAGACACAACTATTTTCTGCAGGAAATTACCTAAGGCAGTTCAGAAATTTCTTGGGTGCTGTCAAATGGAGAGACAGGCTGTTGAATAGAGAAAAAAACTACAAAGTGAAAACAAGAACACAGGAGAGGCACCAAAAAAAAAAAAAGTGAACAAAGAGATTCACAAAGATTATGGATAGACAATGCACAAACAACTCTGAAAAAAAAAGAGAAAAATACCTAATATAATCTGCATGACTTGAGAAAAGAAGTCCTTATACAACAGTGTATTAACAATAAAGCAAACCCCCAAAACTTTGTGAATTCAGAACTTTGTGGCTCTTTTCCACTCCTGCTTAATGCCCTAAAACATCTAATGCTAGCCACCGTGTGTGATACAAAAAAAAAGTACCGAAAAGAGACTTACACAAGTACATCCTCCACTAGGTTATGAAGGGTGCTTGGATTGCGGATGAGTTTGTCTAAGAAGCTGACAATGTCACTAAATTTTGGACGGTGGTTCCTCTCCTTTTGCCAGCAGTGAAGCATTAGTTGGTGAAGGGAAGCTGGGCAGCCCATAGGAGCTGGAAGCCTGTAGCCTTCTTCAATAGACAGTATAACCTAAAGAAAGACAATGCATATGATTACCGGGCACTAGAGTTAAATGCTGCAAGGACAGTGTAAAGCTGACAATTAGCAAACAGTGATAACAATTAATGGCACAGCCACTCTCACTGTATGTGTTGCTGGGGCTTCCCTCAGGGAATCGGGGCTGGCAGGAGTGTGACCAGAGATGTGAGGTATTTTGTAGGCATATGAAACACAGTAGGCACTTTGCTAGGCTCTCTGGCCACCCTCTTCAAACAGCCAAGAAAGGAGAAGAAAAAACTAGCCAGTATCCCTATCTTTTTCACCTGCCTGCAGGTTGAAGTTGTACTGAGTGGGGTCGCAGGGCCACAACCAGCCTCGTATGGCCACTGCATACTGGGATGCTCTGATATTTGCATCCTGACAAAGTGTTAGCATGTGGCAATATCATGATACAATGAAGCACTACAAATTCGCATTGCAGCACCTGGCAAATTCACTTGGTGATAACATGTTCTTGCTGATCGTTAGAGTATGATTAAATCAGGCAATGTCCCACACACCGAGTTATAGCAACACACAGCATTGTTTAGCACAGCCTCTCTCAGAAACCTGGATGCCCAAGCTGTTTCTGACTAAACAAAAGTTAATAAAATTATGGTGTTACTGTATACGCTAAAGTGAGTAGAACTTTTAGATTCAGCAGCTGTGGAAAACGTTTGGTCAGGATTTGGAAAGAAACAGATCTGTTGTCACAGATAAATCACTTGTATGAAAAATTACATTTGATCAGATTTGAGGGGAGGCTTCATTTTAGTAACACTGGTAACAAAAAACATTGTCTGAAAAGGACATTAGCAGCCCTGGATGATAGGAGGTAGCAAAAGTAGGTAAGGTCCATGAAAAGCTGGCTGGATTCATTCTGTGTAAAATTTAAAAAACAGGCATAAAGGTTACTAGGTTTTGCAATGAGTGGTGGTAGCAGTGGGCATGATGATAGAAATGACGTAGTCAGGATTTCTTGTACATAAATGAATGGAAAGACAGTAAGTGGTTGATAAAAAACAAAGCTAGGAAAAAGACCAACACTACTACACACCTAAGCCTTCCACATAAAAGTCCAACCAATGCTAAATGTTCTCTAACGTACAAATGATTGTACGCAATATTTATAATAACACAGGGCACTTATGAGAAACATACCTACTATATTTATACCCACTCTGCTTTAAGGAGACATTTATCATTTTCACACAGATGTATGTACATGCTGCAGGCATGTTAAAGCAGCTGGCAAGGGGGTACATTAAACTGTTTACAGCAAATCAATGTTTTCTAGCACTCGCTGTAGCTTCAATATATTCACTCTTCTTGTCCTGGAATATATCCTCGTTCTCTTTTTGAATTCTGAATTAATAATATCGTTGGCTCCATTTAGCAATGCCTAATCCTTATGCTGCTAGCATTATGCAAATAAATAAAAGTAATGAAGCTACATTAAGACCTTAGCTCTCCTTCATGGCATGATAGAGAATGGAATGAGACTCATGTAGCTGTACACAGCTGGGTGTCGGAGTTCTATAAAATGAGGTGACTTGGTCCTGCAGTGTATAGCCCTCTTGTACCCTGGCAGAAACACCTATGTGTGTAAAATAAGTGCTTGCAACACGGCAGAGAATTTGATTTGCATGGGGTAAGTTTCAGACCCATCAGCAACAGCACTGGGAAGTACAGGCTACGCCAAAGGCAGCATTATTTCACTATTTGCCACAGGGATCTCTGAATTGTACGCACCCATGAGTCCTGACAGGCCACACACATGCAGACAGGAATAGCCATGCACCTACCGAGGTGATATCTAGCAGTAAATTATATGTCAGTATGATAATCCTTCCACCTGCCTTTCTGGCTATTTATTTATCTCCCTGGGATTTACTTCAGTGTTCCAAAATCTGGGCTGCCGGAATGGCTGCCATAGAAAAAAATACCATCAGATTGCCAGAGAAGTATTTCCTCCAAACCCGTGTCTCCTAACGATGAATAGGCCCCCCAGATTGCTCCTGTTGCAGACTCAGGATGGGTGAAATTCAACCCCACATGCACAAAATTTTATTCACAAAACTGTCAAAACTCACGTATCTCAAGCAGTCTGTCTAACGTGGCTTCATAAACGTAGCTGCTTGTGGGGTATAGCTTATTTGGTGCTTCTCATTGGAGAGGAAATCTTTAGCAGCCCAGAAATGCAGATATCATAGTCTTTACATTTAACTATACCTGTTGCAAATGATGGATTTCTGAAATATTTTTTGGTTTTAAGCGTAAGGGAAAGCTTCTCTACTTTTATGAGACATATAGCAGTTGTTTGACACAACAATAGAGAGCTGATGAAGTTTTTCTAAAATAAATTATTCAGGAAAAAACCAAAAGCAACCACAATTTCCCAGACATTATATTTTCTCTGACACACTCTATTTTACATATCTTTAGAAAAGAAGTTACAGTGCATTTTGTTTCCTTTCTTGTTCAAAAGGAACATTTCAGTACGAAGAGCAATGCCAGCTGGTACTGGTATAAATATAATCTCTCATTAATACCACCACATTTTAAAAATAAACTGCAAATATTGCCTCATTAGTATCCCTTGTGAGGCAATATTATTTTTAGAGTCTAAGAAACAAGAGTAAAGATGTGATAAGTGTCTAATACTGCAATGGGAATCAAGTCTCAAAGGCAGAATTAGAGCTTTTTAGTTCCTTATTTATTTATTTATTTATTTAAGCTCCCGCTTTGCTACTTGCATAACACCTGTCTCTCAACATAGGAATTAGATATCCATAGACCTAAAAGGGAAGAAGTGTTACCTTTTTTTTGCTAATACAAAATTATATCTTGTATAATAGGTAAAGATTATACATGCTAACATCTTTTACATGTCTTTTTCTTTGCCACTTTAAGGTTGAAGAAGCACCACATTAATCGTGAAATGGTCTAAAAGTCTGTATCTACAAGAAGGATATAGCAGCAGCTCTAGCAATCAGTGTAACTCTTTCCACATTGGCAAATCAGCGTCTCATTCATTTCAGCCCGAAAGAATATGAATATTAGCTTAGCCTCTGTACATACAATGCCCTGAGTCTGCTAACAAAAAGGCTGATTACTGCTCTTTGATTCTGGCTTTGTGATGAATGCTTGAAGAGTACCAAAAGGAAGAAAACATGCAAATATGCTGTGCTGCTGTCAAACACTGAGAAAGAGCCTGTAGGTTTCTTTTCAGCGATGAGTGTGTTTAAAACTCATTAGAAGGTCTTGTGGGTCAGCGTTAAGGTGAGTAAAATGGGCAGGGTGTATTTTTAAAAGTAACTTTTTTTGGCAGGCGAGACTATGAACTATAAGGGAAAGGGAATGCTTTTTACAGTTAACACAGCTAATTATTTCCATGCTTAGGCTTTCATGTTTACAAAGGGCACCATTCTATTTATATATTTTTAGTACACAGATGATATTAAACACTGGAGCCTGTTAAATACATTTTATCATTTTTTTTGATGTTAGAAATAGCTGTAAAGGTTGAAGACAGACTTAATATTAAATATTAACTATAACACCAAAATTATCTGAAAAATATTTTATGGACTTCTGCATAAAATTTCTGCATGTTTAGTTTCAAAATAATTTGAAACTGGCAAAAATGGCATCTGAAAATTAAGCTGTAATCTTTCTGATAGTTTCATTATTAACAGTAACATAGATTTTTGCTTTCAAAAGATAACTGACAGATTTTTTGATGTGACTGAGACAGAGGAAAGTCCAGAGGGACGTTTTCCCTGTGTCCTACTGACATCTGAAAAATCTACCAGGAGGGAGAGGCAGCTGCTCATGCCTCATGGTACGGAGCCAATCCCAGGTGTCTGCCAAGTGTTTTGATACCTGTGGGTTGAAAGAACTATATTAGGGTAAGTTATTTTTACTATTACAAGAAACTTTCATAAGTGTAAGGACTTTTATTCTGTTTGCTACAGTAGTTTTCTTGCATCTTGATTACAATCCATTAAATATTCTTTTTTTTTTTTTTTTTTTTTTTATACTTTAATTTTTCAACTTTTCCTTATTTTTTTTTTTGGTAATACTGTAGTTCTGCAACATTCACTAATTTATACAGTGGCCTCTAACAGGTGTCCCAGTGGACTTCACTCACAGCTGTTCTACAAACCAAGTGCATGGAATATAAATCTTCCTTTCCTCACATGAGCATTAGCAAGCCCGACTCTTAGCACAATCTGTTCATCAGTACACTAGTTTCCTTGGAAAGTTCAATATCTTAGCTAATGTTTATTAATTAAGCAATAAGACATGACAGACTGTGCAGCAGCCCTAATTAATGGACACCTCTGGTGCCTGCCACACATCTAAGAAGTGCATTAATCAGCACCAACACAGGTCTGAAGTGACTTACCACAATAATAAAATGGTTATTTACTTAAACAAGAACATTTCTCAAAGCTAATAACATTTTTAAGCCCCTACAATATACCTTGTACAGTATTCAAAAATTTGAGAGAAGCATTTTCAAACTCAGTTGCCTAAAGTTCAGCTCCCAAATCCCTGCTTAGGAATATAGGTAGAGGACACTAGATTTGCAGAGGTCTTGAGCCTCTCTGGCTTGCACTGACCTGATGAGTACTTGTGAACAGTTGTAGTCTCCGAAAATCTGACTGGGTTTATTTAAGTGGCAGATATCAGTTTAACACCTCTGTTCACATCAGCTCGTGCTCTGCGCTACCTATGCTGGCTCCTTGTGATTTGATTGCTGTGACTGAGGGGTGGGAGAAGAGACCCTCGGTGGGCTTAGCTCATCCCCACCATTCAGCTGACTGAAGATGCGTTCACCTGGCAAATAGGCACCGCGCCAGTCAGCGCTGGTCTCGCTTCCCCCGGCATTGCCCCCCTTTGGGTAGGGCTGGGCCTGTCACTGGCTTCTATGTTAGACAGGTAAGAAACGAGCGCAGCCGCTCAAAACATCACTTACTTAGCCATGGTCTAAAACAGTGAATTAACTTCCCAAAGTTGTTTAATTAGGAAAGCAATTTATAAGATGGAATGTGAAGAAACAGACTTGGCTCTGTGGAGTTCATACTTGGAAGACTTTTGGTACTTTATAGAAACTCACACAGTTCAACAAATATTCTATTGCTAACTAGAGGAGAGTTTTATTATGATCAAAACACAGCAAGTGTTGTAATGTTAATGTTGCCAGATATTCTGCCATAGCAGAACCTCTGACTATACTTATGAAATACCTTATCAACAGTTGTTTGCATAATATGTTTTATGAATCTGTTTAGTGCATGCCCCTCTCTGTTACTATCCCTGCCATATGTACAGTATCACTGACCTTTGGGAAAGTCCTATTATTTCTGCAAAATAAGCTCATGTGAATTCAGGGTAATTTATTGTCTAAAACATATGTCCCAATATCCAGCAAAGTAAGCTTTACAAGATGTCTAATAACTTTAAATTTCCCAATGACATTTAGAGTCACTAAATGTATTTAGAAGGTCGCAGGTACTCACTGTTAACATTTCGGCACTGAAAGCCTGTGGGTAGGGCTCCAAAGAAAAGGAGTCCTTCGTGCTATGCGTCGCTGAACTGCAGGGAAAGCCCCCAGGAGTCAGCATCGTTAGCATAAGCGGCATCCATAGGGCCCGCATCATTATTCTGTATTAGCAGATACTTCTGTGCTGAATGTAGGAGCAATTAAATGTCACTATCCTCGTGCTATAGCAGAATATTTAATAAACTCTAAATGGAAGGGTTGCTTTATGAATTCTTACTGCTGGCATGGCCTTGAATAGATGCATCGTAGATTGTGATGGAGGGGAAGAGAACAGGCTGAAGCTAGCCTCAAGTACAGGGAGAGGCAGCTGGAATAAAGGTCTCTGTTGCACACTACTCTCAGCTGGTGGCTTGGGCTCTGCGTGAGGGTCCTACCAGTCATTCAAACCCTCTTCCCAGGCAGTGAATAGTGGGGCTGAGTGGACTTGACAGAAAGGCGCTCTTTCCGTCCATTCCCAGTTAGCGGTAACAGCAGTGGGAGAGTCAAGAGCTGGGCCGGTAACAGAGCCGGTGTGAGCAGAAGGATTATGATTACAGGAGAAGCAGAAGAGATGATAGCAGTTGGGTTCCTCACAGAGAGTTAACTCGAGACCAGATGAAATCACTCACAGCTGGAACAGAGACTGAGATTCCCCATGCTGTAGCACAAGATTGCTTGACATGCATGATACAGCAAAAAAGCGTCCTCTTCCCCCCCACCTCCTGGAACTGCAGTAACTACCAGCTGCCCATCACCTGCAGCTCAGTAAGCAGAGTGGCAACATGAGGGGCAGAGGCAGAGTTACGGAGAGGTGATATTGCAGTTGGAAGCACTGTCACTGCACAGAACCCAGGTATCATGGTAGGGCCAACTTTGTTCAGCAGTATCTCTGGCTTCATGGGCTTCTTTAATCTCTAAAAAAGCCACCCATGAATGGGGTGCTGCAGATGGAAGGGAGAAATGAAATACAAATTATACTGTGAGGAAAGCCAGGCAAAAGACTATTGCCCACGATACGCTCAAAGGATGTGCCAGTGGCAAGTGACAGGGCCGCAGCAGAAAGGACTGTGAGCTGTTGCTGCTTTTATGATTAGCACAGTCCCTCAACCAGGCAGTGCTAAGAGGGGTGGAAGGGAAAAAGTAACTGCCCAGTGAGCCTTACTTGTAAAGGCACATGCAGACATTGTGCTTACTAGTCAGAGTGTCGAGTGGCCAAGAGGCAATGGGCACAAACTGAAACCCATGAAATTCCATCAAAACATAAGAAAACAGTTTTCTGTTTTGTGGGTGACTGGCACAGGTTGCCCAGAGATGTTGCAGAGTCTCTGTCCTTGGAGACAGTCAAAATCCGATTGGAGATAGCCCTGAGCAAACTGCTTTAGCTGACCCTGGTTGAGCAGGGGGGCTGGAGCAGACAATCTTGAAAGGTTCCTCAACCTCAGCTGTTGTGTGATTCTGTGATTTTCTAGTACCTTTTTCCCAGTTTCTTGTTCTGTTCAATCTCCCCTTAAAAGAAGGCTCACAGTGAAATTAACCATTGCATCTATTAGTTTGGGAAGGCAGAAAATTTGAGGCTGTATGTGCATTTTGATACAAAGGCAATTCCATGCAATGCAGAGTAATCGGGTTTTGCAACAGCATGCTAATGATGAACAGGCTGATCTTGCTATGGCTGTGTTCAGCTTTGCTTCGAAACAGAAGATTAGCTCAAGAATAGCACCGTCTGCTATTGCAAGGCTGAAGTGATGTCCCAACTCTTTAGCAACTGGCTCCTAAACCACCACATCTTACAATGAGGCTTTTTAAGGAAAACGATAGCAGTTTGTCTTAAATTGGTGTTTGCAAGCAATGGTAATTCAGGAGGTGATACATGGCACTCTGTTCAGGCAAAGAAATAGCTGGGGTACTCATATTGTTGGTCAGAGTCTGCCTATTCATCCTCTTTTATTAACTTTGAACCTGTTGGCCCACTTGAATCAAATTAAACAAGTTGTGTAAGAATCAGCAGCTGGCAGAGGCATAAATTTGGTTGTAGGACATGGAGATTTAAATATATGAGAAATCTGTACACAGATGATTTCATACAGTGCCCCAGAGAAAAACAGCCCTAACTCAGTTGTCTAAGCATAGGTATCTAATTTTAGACTCCCTAAGGTAATCCTGCTTAGCCCTCAGTTGTTGCTCCTCAAGAACTTAGGTCTCCTGCACGTCCTGCATCAGCTGTATGTGGAAATCTTCGTTACTCTCAGGCATCTCAAATGCCAACAGATTGCTAGCTGGGGGAAACAGAATTGAGCGTACTGGGTTTATCTGCTTATTTCACAGTAAATCCATGATGTGTTTATAGTTCAGATAGTACCAAAACAATGTCTTCACTGAAGAAAAAAGTTTACCTCAGCTTGGTGGTTGCTCATTCTCTTCAGATGGGCAACCAGCCACCACTGCCTGGTCAATCAACAGAAGAGTAGCTCCAAAGCAGGCCCAGCAGGTATCATCCCATACCTGGTGTTAATTAAGGAGCACAGCAGGGAGCTGGGTTGCTGGCAGGTAGATGTGTGGAATGGGGATGGAGGCTGTAGGCATTGTCAGGGGAGAATGATGTACAGGAGAGGTGGTCTAATTCCAAAGACTAAACTCACAAAAGAGATGCTGGAGAGAAGTAGGATTGGTACTGGTGTAGTAGAAGTACTGGTGAGGCTGTAGAGTACAAATCTAAAGGAAATAAGGCTTTATTAGTTCTGCTAGTCTTTTCTGTTTTCAGTGGTTTTGGTTGTTTTTTTTTTTTTTTTTTCTTCCTGAAACACTCTGAAAAGATGTTTTTTTTAATGAAAATCTCTCTCAGATCCTTATCCCCAAATGACTGATCAGCTTTAACAAGCAACCAGACTTGAACAGCTGAATAACTTAGCAACAATATAAAACCAGCCACCTGGGAAAAGTCTTGTCAACTTTTCAGAACAAATGCAGAGGTATTCTAGGCACATATATGAGAGAGGTTTAAGATGGGTTGGCTGATATTCTGCATTTTGACATAGAGATTGATGGCTGGTGTGAAGACTTGAGTATACCTGTTTGTGCTGTCATGGGGATCCATCAAACAAGAGAATTAGTGAAAATTTAAATTGTGATAGAGAAAAAAAGGATTCCTTCCTTCCTGGGCTTCATTTTCTAGTGCAAGGCTTCAATTTTACTAGATGGAAATGTGTTTTTTCAATTGGGAAGGCTTACTTGGCCACAACTTTGGCAAAAAAAAGTCAAACATAACCCAGTTATGAGGGAGGACTATTATCCTTCACTGTGGTTAAGCCTATACGTACTTTTTGAGGAAAACAGAATGCATTTATTCTTAGAAAGAAGAATTGGCAAATACATTTCTCATGGCAGCTTAACTATTTCAGAATTTAACCATGTACGCTCATTGAAGGGTCCTGTCAGACTGTACTGGAGATAATGGGCCAACTTTATCATCAGAATAATTCCAGTATTCCCTCAAGTTTTGATTTATAGCTTGATTGAGAACTGCATCAACTTGCATGTCTGATGCAGATTCCCAGGGATTTGGGTGAAAGCCACATATAGTCAGCATCAGAACCTGGCAAGCTGCTATGGCTCTTTGTAATACAGCTTTAATCCATGGGAGGAAGCTAGTCAAGGTTTTAGTTACAGAGGGCCAGGTTTTCAGGCTTCATAAATTAACTATCCCATTGAAGTTGATAAGAGTTATGCTGATTTGAGTAAGTTGAGGTTCCAGTCTAGAAAGTGAATGAGAAAGCAAAACAGGGCAGGAAGTGACAATAATTTTCAAGGAGCATTTCAGCAACTCACAGATTAGTCCTTGGTAGTACTTACATCCTGGTTGGACATCTCCCAGTATGGTCTCTCACCATAGGACATCACCTCCCACATTACAATCCCGTAGCTCCACGCGTCGCTGGCTGATGAGAACTTCCGGTAAGCTATAGCTTCAGGAGCAGTCCACCTTATGGGGATTTTTCCACCCTGGAAAATATGTTATCAACTTATCAATATGACCAGAATACAGAACAGTAAATGTTTAAAAGTAAAGAAAACAAAAGATATCCTGGATGCTGAGATTCTTCACTCTGCCTTCTGTCAATTTGCCTTGTCAATTGGCTGCAAGTGGAAAAGCAGAAATACACCTTTTTCACAATTTGACAAAAGTTTGGTTTCATTTGTAGTCTAATTCACCAAAACCAGCACTTTGTGAAAAACAAGTCTCAGTTTAAAGAACAGAAAGCATTTTAGATGATTCATGTTTGCTCAGAGTCCTATAATTAGTCAGAACATGCCTTTTGATTGAAAACATCCCTAGCCTGAAATTCCTAGTGCATTGACATTTAATCTCTTTTTCCTTAAATGAAATAGAAACATCTATTGCAAAATGGAGCACCAAAAGCACTTAATAAAATTATTTAAGCAGAAAGGAAACTATAGCCTTTCTATTATTCTGTACTCTTGATAACCTCTTTAAATTTTTGCTGTGCCCTTTAAATATCCAGGTAAAGAGCAAACCAAGTATGTTTCTAATAGGTGTTTCCTTAGGATATTGAATAGTTTTATTCTGCAGCTCTCAACTTAAAATCCAAGTGCCACCACAAAAAAAAAAAGATCTGTAAGAATTCAGTCGACAAACCTGACTTACTCTTTACAAGACCACAGTATGCAGAATTTTTCTCTGACATTAGTAATTGAACCTAAAATAGTTTATGTATGAAAACTATTTTCCCTTTTTACAACAAAGTGTTTCTTCTCCAGATATATTTCTCTTTTCAAAAGTATGCATTTATTATCATTCTCCATGTAACTCTACGTAAGTAGAGAGCAATATACTTAAGGTGCCACTAGATGGTAGAAGGAGGCAGTCAGTAGAGCCGAGCTCACTTTGCAGTAGTTGCTTTCAACAGCAGTAATAGATTCTGCTTGGCGTTATAATTGTATTTCTGACAGAAACAAAAGAAGAAATGAACTAGAACATCCATTTGGCAATTGAAGAGAAGCCACAGTTAAAAACAAGTATGTAAATCTCTGTTAATTTGCTTTGAAAGTATAAAAAATTGCGTGCAAGTTGCTGAGGCCTGACTTCTACTGAGAAGATGCTTGTTCTACCAAAAAGTGTTCCAAGGCAAAGCTGGGTGTCTGTGGCGATGTGCCAGTAAGCTAACTTCTCATCAGTGAGTCTCAGCTGCTGATGAGAAATGTATGGTTCACATTTATGTAGTATGATGGTTAAGATGGCCTTTGTATGATGTTACATTTTTTTGCAGCTGCTTTTTTAAAGCCTTTGCTTGCTCAATTGTGGTTGCAGTCAGTGGCAAACCACATACTGATCTGAGCAGTGGTAAGGTAAAGGTAATACTTTCTTTTGCATTTTTGCGCAAGCACGCCTCTACCCCCTTTTCTTAATCCAGTAACCTGGTGGTCAGACCACTCCCCTGGAATGTCAGAGATGGAAAGAACTTCATGCCCTCCCTGCTGCCATCTCTGAGCTGGCCCTAGCCAGTGCTGCAGGGTGCGATGCTCTTAGACCCTTCCTGGTATGCTCTTCCACTTGGGAAGCAATGACAAATGTATTTTGGTATAAGAATGGAGAAACAGGATGACAAAAGAGATTTGTGATAGGACATTTTCCAAGGAAAGACCAGCCTAATTGCTTGTCTTTTCCCCAGGGAATATTTAAACCTTCTAAACAAAATGGATAAGAGCATTTGGTGTTTGATCTCATGATCTAATTGCAGTGGTGTTTCAGTTGAATATGCGAGTCCGAGCTTCTTGAGGCAGTGGAAGATTTAGATATTCAGTGTCCCAAATATACCCTACACACTAGGCTGTCCAACCAAAAGGATGTGTCCTCTGAGAAACAGACGGTTTTAGGGTCTAACTACAGAGTATAGTTCAAAATATCTCCTTACACCACAGAGTTATGGGCCTTACCCTTTTTACTGGATCAGGTTTAGTCCTTTATTTTTAAACATTTTCATGCCAAACTTAGGTAATTCCATCCTTAGATCCCTGTCTTCTGCAGGTTTTTGGGGACAATCAGTATTTTCCTGGCCTAAGTCACAGTGTCGTGGTAGGCATTTAACTCCTTCTTTGGACCTGGACACGGACACATGCACTTTTGAAAAGGTAAACAACATTGCTGCTGATCCACATCAGAAGAGACACTGCCCTGACAACCCTAAATGCCCTTCCTCATCAGCAGCATATCAGTCCTGGATGATGAATGATGTAGAAGATGATACACTTGTTCCAACACAGGAGTTCACTGTCTAAACCTCGTCTTACCAAGCAGTAAGACGAGGTTGCTGCCTCTTGCTTTGTGTCCACTCAAGATACTTTCTGGAGTGCCACACCAGCATTCAAGGGAGGATGCAAAAGAAAAATTCCGTATTTTCTTTCCTTATCACAGATCTCAGAAGATGACAGGAAAAAAAGTCTACTAGTTTAGATGGTTGTGTTACTGTAAGACTTTGTTTACCAAGACAAACTGATAAATCAACAAATTTACAATGAGCCTACATTTCTAATTTGGAGAGTTTTGTTAAATATTTATTTTTGAATTTAATGAAAACTCTCACATTAATAATTAAATATCTACTTTTAGGGAAAACACAAATCTATACATGCAAATAAAAGGCATTTGGCGATTTATAGATTTTACTTTTAATGTCTATAACAAAATAGGAAAATTTTTTTAAAGTGTGTTCTTTTTATAAATCTGATTATGTATTCCCAAATTATACTCAAAAAAGAAGTCACATCTCAAGCAGCATTTGCAGCTATATTTGTGACTATTGGCTACATATAAATGAGTTTCAGAGAATCTGATTAGACTCTACAACTAGATCCATGATAGAGCTTTACTAACTTACCCCTTTTGGACTGAAACAGTAGTGGCTCATTGAGAGTGAAAATGAGAATGGAGAACAGAGTCTTAACAAAATTCAAGGCAGTTCACATTCAAGGGCATAAGATGTGTTCGGTGTTGTAAAATAAAATTCTTTTGTGCTGGCTTTAATGACAAAGTGAAGCAAAACCTCTAAAAAATTTACAGTGGATTTATCTTATGTATGAAGATGTTGTAGTCATAAAAATGTAAATTTCAACACTTAATTATGTTTGCAGAGTATCTTTTTATGCAAAAAAGTTGTTTTATTTATTTGAAAGCTATTCAAAAGGCGGAGATTGCAATATGACTACCTTAAGAGACACAGATGACTGAACAGTAGTAATAGCTGCTCATGCATAATAAAAGAACACATAAGGTTTAGAATAGCTGAAAATACATATCCGGTTTCTGATTAGAGTAATAAAAAGTGTTACTGATATTGGACATGTCTTTTTACACTTTCATCTAACTGGAAAAAATAATAAATGCAATACTTACTGTTTACACAATGCCTTACCTCGAAATTAAGATAATTTATAAATGGTCTACATTTTACTACTGTAGCAATGAAATCTGTCACAGCTCCCAGTATCAGAAAGCCCTTATGCAAGCCCATTCTGCTTTTAGGTTATTCTCTCTCTTTTGGGGGGGCAGAGGGGGAGGGGCAGAAGGGGTGTTAGGAACAAAATTGTATTTCTGCCTCATCTTATATATTAATAACGATATGAGTGATAAGCTAGTTTTATTTTCACATAGTAAAAGAACACTAACACTGCTATTCAAATAATTAAATTCAGCCTTTTTTTCCTGTATGCTGCCAGCTGAATAGTGTCTATCTCCTGATTTTTTTCTTGATTGCAATTTAATAAGCAATTTTAATATGCAGTGTCAAGAGTCCCCTTGGAATTAGAATATTAGGCTCACATTGCTTAGCTTGTCGAACTGTTTAGAGAGCAGCCTTTGAAATGTAATTTACCCCCTTGCCCACCCACACCCATGCTTACTTTCAAACTACAGAGTTGGCAACTGCACAGTTCGCCACACATTTAAAGACAGAGGTGGAACTATATGTTGCAGAATGCCTCATATTCTTTACCTCAAGCTATGCATGAGAGGGAGATAGTCTTCCCAAAATGGTGTCTCTTCTTTGAGCTTAGAACACAAAAAACTGCTTATGATCTGTTATGTGAAAAGACCCCAGTGGAGCAACTGACACATCACATATTGTCCAATGGGCCACAAAATCTATTCCTTACTCTGTGTTTTTGCCATGTCCCATTTGATTTTTTTTTAATTTTAAAAGTTAGACATCTTTTAAAAAAACAAGAGGCATTAACATTTTCTTTAATTAAATATTTAAACATATTTTAAAACTCCAGCAGAACAATGTCACTGGCAGATGCATCTACCAAGATGAAGGTTGGGATGTATCGGCAAGCTCAAAATGCTTCATGTGAAAAATGACAGAGAAGCAAAGAAGGAAGCCTGTTAGATGCCCGGAACTTTTGGCATGCCTCACTAGCTAATTAAAGTGAGGAGTGGTGCCACAGAGAACCTTACGTATAAAACTGAAGGTAAGATGTATGAGCTCCCATTGGATGTGCAAAGACTGTGATAGACGTAAGCAGCCAGAAGCAAACACAGTGCATCAGATTCATGATGTCCCAGAACTAGCAGTGATGTGAAACAATGCCTGTTTCTATTGAAAGGCCTGTTTCATATTTTCCTTGAATGACAGACACTGCAGCGGGGCTGTCATAGAGCTGGCTGCAGTTCTACTAAATGCTGAGGTGCAAACCCATCAGTTCCAGATGCACAGACATCTAGAACTGTCTATTTCTGGGACAAAAGTTACTGAACTATGTGCACCATTAGTCTAATATGGCACAGTAATTCCTATGCATCTGTCAGTTACTATTCCTTTATGTACGATGTTACTGAATCATGCAGTAATTTTCTGTGACACAAGTGTAGTATCTGTCTTTTTCCCCAACTCAAATGACAGAAATGGGGAAAAAAAGGAACTTCAGAGTGAAGAGAGGCAAAAGTAACGAGAGAGATTAGTTTTAAATATTGGACATAATTCATC